CCTGCTGTCTGTCTGTCCATCCTGTCCTGCTGTCTGTCTGTCCATCCTGTCCTGATGTCTGTCCATCCTGTCCTGCTGTCTGTCTGTCCGTCCTGTCCATCCTCCTGTCTGTCCGTCCTGCTGTCTGTCCGTCCTGCTGTCTGTCCATCCTGCTGTCTGTCTGTCCGTCCGTCCTGCTGTCTGTCCATCCTGCTGTCTGTCCGTCTGTCCTGTTGTCTGTCCTGTCCTGCTGTCTGTCCTGTCCTGCTGTCTGTCTGTCCGTCCTGCTGTCTGTCCGTCTGTTCTGCTGTCTGTCCGTCCTGCTGTCTGTCTGTCCATCCTGCTGTCTGTCTGTCCATCCTGCTGTGTCCATCCTGCTGTCTGTCTGTCCGTCCTGCTGTCTGTCCGTCCTGCTGTCTGTCCATCCTGCTGTCTGTCCATCCTGTCCTGCTGTCTGTCTGTCCATCCTGCTGTCTGTCCGTCTGTCCTGCTGTCCATCCTGCTGTCTGTCCATCCTGTCCTGCTGTCTGTCCGTCCTGTCCATCCTGCTGTCTGTCTGTCCATCCTGCTGTCTGTCTGTCCGTCCTGTCCATCCTGCTGTCTGTCTGTCCATCCTGCTGTCTGTCTGTCCGTCTGTCTGTCTGTCCGACCTGCTGTCTGTCCATCCTGTCCTGCTGTCTGTCTGTCCTGCTGTCTGTCTGTCCGTCCTGCTGTCTGTCCATCCTGTCCTGCTGTCTGTCCATCCTGCTGTCTGTCTGTCCATCCTGCTGTCTGTCCGTCCTGTTGTCTGTCCATCCTGCTGTCTGTCTGTCCATCCTGCTGTCTGTCTGTCCTGATGTCTGTCCATCTGTCCTGCTGTCTGTCTGTCCATCCTGCTGTCTGTCCATCCTGCTGTCTGTCCGTCCTGTTGTCTGTCCATCCTGTTGTCTGTCTGTCCATCCTGCTGTCTGTCCATTGTGTCCTGCTGTCTGTCCATCCTGTTGTCTGTCTGTCCGTCCTGCTGTCTGTCCTTCCTGCTTTCTTCCCTTCCTGTCCTGCCCGATGTTTCCTCTCCTGCTTTTTCCCATTTTTCCCGCCTGACGCTCCCTGTCCCGCCTCTGCTGCCTTTCCTGTCCCGCCTGATGTTTCCTTTCCTCTCCTGCTTTTTCCCTCTTTCCCTCCCTGTATTCCCAGTCCTGCTTTCCCTGCCGGTGCTCCCTGCCCTTCCTGTCCTCCCTGAGGTTTCCCATCCTTCTATTTTCTGCCGTGCCTTCCCTTCCTGTCCTGCCCTTCCTGCTGCCTTCCCTGTCCGTGTGTCCAGCCCTGTCCATCCTTCCCGGTGCTCCCATTCCTGCTTTCCCTGCCTGTCCTGCTTGATGTTCCCTGCCCTCCCTGTCCTCCCTGCCCTGCCCTGCCCTTCCTGCCCGTGTTTCCTTCCTGTCCTTCCTAATGCTCCCTGTCCCGCTTTCCCTGCCAGTCCTGTCCGTGTTTCCAGCCCTGTCCATCCTTCCCGGTGCTCCCATTCCTTCCTGTCCTGTCTGTCCTGTCTGTCCCGCCTGTATTTCCAGCCCTGTCTGTCCTTCCTGATGTTCCCATTCCCAATTTCCCTGCCTTCCCTGTCTGTCCTGTCCGTACTTCCAGCCCTGTCCATGTGTCCATCCCTGTCCGTGTGTCCAGCCCTGTCCGTCCTTCCCGGTGCTCCCATCCCTGCTTTCCCTGCCTGTCCTGCCCATCCTTCCATCCCTGTCCGTCCTTCCCGACTCTCCCATCCCTGCCTGTCCTGTCCGTGTGTCCGGCCCTGTCCGTGTGTCCAGCCCTGTCTATCCTTCTCGACTCTCCCATCCCTTCCTGTCCTGTCCGTGTGTCCAGCCCTGTCCGTCCTTCCCGGTGCTCCCATTCCTGCGTTCCCTGCCTGTCCCACCTCCTGTCCCTTCCCTGTCTGTTCTTTTTGCCCCGCCTGTGCTTCTTTCCCTTCCCGTCACTCCCTTTCCTTCCCGATGCTCCCATTCCCGCCCTGTCTGTTCTTCCTGATGTTCCCATTCCCGCCCTGTCTGTTCTTCCCGATGCTCCCATTCCCGATTTCCCTGCCTTCCCTGCCCATCCTGTCCGTGTGTCCATCCCTGTCCGTGTGTCCGGCCCTGTCCGTGTGTCCATCCCT